CACTGCCAGCAGCGCCTGTGGGTAGTCGCCACTTACTCCCCCACCCCTCCCACCCAAACACTGCCAGCGGTGTCTGTGGATGGTTGCCAAACACCACGGGCCATCACCAATGCTGCTGGCAGCATGTGTGGGTGGTTGCCAACCACTGGCTGGCACTCACCAACCCCCCCTCGCCACTGACACCACTGTGGCCACGTGTGGGTGGTCGCTGTGCCCCCAGCCTCTGGGGGCACGCATCATTCACAATCTGAAGTCCCAGGCTGAAGAGTCTGGGATGTAGGATACTTGCTGGTGGTTGTGTCACACAGACTTGAACAATTGAGCTCTGCTCAGTCTATAGAATTCGGACCTAATTTAGCTGATTTGGTCCATGACACAAAATTAAAAAAAAATGCTGTTTGTTTGTGAGTGTAAAACGTTAACAAAACAATGGCTGAGGGAAGGAACTCAATGAAAATGGAGGCCTCTTGGAAGCACTTTATTTACTTGGATTTTAGAGTCAGCTCTCCAGGTCTTTGTCTGCTATGTGGATACAGCATTGCTGTGGGCTCCTGATCAGCCAGCCTCTTCTAGCATTGGGATGGCAAAACCTGCCAGTGATACGCAAACTGATTGACAGGCATTTCAGTCTGCCTGATTGGAGGTATGTCACATGTGGCAACAGTGCCCAATGCAATAAATTACAGACCAATGTATGAATTGCTTTCATCAGGCTCCTTTCTTAGCCTCCTGCTGGGATTACTTTCAACAATACCAGGAGCTGACTCAACAGCTGCTCAACAGCTGCCATGCATAACCAATGAACAACGTGGACTTAGTTGGGCTACATATTGGGTGTGTATAAAATAAAAGGTATGGGGAAAATGCATCCAGAACCTTAATAAGAGGTTTCTGAGGAGATGGTAGAGGGTCTGCAGCCTTGAGGTGAGTGTGCACTAGGGTCTCCCTCTGACAGAAAGGGCAGGTGTCATGAGTGTTGGATATAGGCAAGGGATGTGGATGGCAGGGGCAGCCTTGACCTCATGAAGTAAGCAGCAGAATACTGAATTAAATGGCTTTGATTTGAGCCACTCAGGCTATGCTTTGGTTAACTAGAGAGCAAACCTGCTGGTCTGCTACCACAACCCAGCCCACTTCCTATGACAGCTACACCACTACAGTGCTTACACTCCAGGACAAAGCATATTTGTTCACTGCCTTGCTGGAGCATGCCTATGGGAGACTTTGGTTCTGCATCCAGGGGGATGTGCCATTTCTCTCCTCAGATTTAGATGAGCTGATGAGGATGATGGGCGGATGAGGATGTTAGCTGGGCGGGTAGGCAGGAACTGGTGAGTAGCACTGATCTTGCAAAGACAGAAACTGCAAGAACTCAAATTAAGGTGACCTGAATTTCAAAATGAAAAGCCTGGCACTTTTTTTTTACATGCTTTTGGGTCTTAGTCATATGAAAGAGCACTAAAGCCCATTTTGGGCTAGCAACAGCACTTCCTCCTCACCCTGTAGCTGGGCACTGATTTAACTGAATGGCTTTTAAAACCGATTCATTCAACCAGGTATATTTTGTTAGTAGACATTATTTCACTTGGGTGTACATGGTTGAATACATTATTGACTAGATTAAACTAAATAGCAATAAGCCACCCTTAAACCAAGTAATGAGTGCCCCCACATATAGACTGGCAGGGACTGGCTATGTGTTGAATGTGAGGAGTCATCAGTGTGAGGGATCTGTGTTTCTTTACTTGGGGTACATTGCTTGGGTTTTCCTCTCTCAGTTCATGCAGCCAGTCCCAGAGCAAGCCCTAGCAGGAATATTTCCCTCTACTGCAGTCTGTGTTTGACCTGTGCAGGATGACTGATTTCAGCCAGGTGGGGAGGGAGGGTTTGTGTTGAGCTTCTGCACAGACAGGAAGTGAAGATCCTTTCCAGCTCACCCTAGGTTATGAGATGTTCTGCAACAGAGCATGCTTTCTGGTTAAATAATTGAACTAGGAAAACCAGCATAACCGATGGGTGGCTCCCTGTGGTGAGTGATGCTAACCTAACTGAAGCCTAGGTATCTCTCTCACCAGCTTTCCAAGCACCCTTTTCGTTTGCATTTTTCCCTCCATTCTCTATTTCAGCTCTTTCCCTGGAATGCCTCAAAACCAAAGTGAACAGCTGCCAGGACTGCATCCAATCCAGCCCTGATTGCGCCTGGTGCAAGAAGCCGGTAGGTCAGCCAGCCTTCCACTTACAACCACCTGTCAGGGTTTGCTAAGCCCCCACCAAGCAGGAGCTTGGCCACACATGCTGGTCCTTAGACGATTTTCTGCTGTCAGGTGAAAAGACTGGACCCCTGGGAGGTCCCAAGAAGGATTCTTTCTGTCCTGGATGGACAGCAGACAGTCGGGTTGCAACAAGTTGTGCTGCAGGGAATAACCTCCCCATGTTCCTCTAGCTGTGGAGATGAACATTTGCAGACTCAGGGAGGCAAGTGCCTTCAGGTCTCCCCTGACCATGCCCCACAAACATTTCCTCTGGCTGCCTCTGTTATTGTTTGCTAACCAGTGTAAGGGTGACAGGCTGTCTTGCCTAATGTTTAGGCTACTGAGAGAAGGCAGGGGCTAAGTTAGGGCTTGGGAGCCAAATTATGAGATCCAGAGGGAAATCCAGGGGAAGGGTCCAAAACACAAGCCAGGGTCAGAGTCCAGAAGTTGGATGCCAAGTTGCTAGATCCAAGGGACAGTAAACAAGCCAGAGCCCAAGAACAGAGTTAAGCAGGTTCAGGAAACAGATCCAAGAGGAAGTTCAAAGCCAGGGTCCAAGAACAGAGGCAAACCAGGCTCAGGAACTAGGACTACCACATCATGGAGGTTTACCGAAGCAAACTTTGGTCAGAACTGTTGGCTGGCCTGGATTTCTGCTGCCACTGCTGGGATTAAACAGTAGGAAGCTGGCTAGTTAATTAGCTGGGGTACAGCTTGTCAGTTAGAGACTGAAGGAAGATGTGGGTGGCTAGACCATTAGCCCAAGTTGGGCTTCCTGTTAGGGTTCCTGACAAAAGCCACAGAAGTATAACCGGCCAGTATAACACCCTGGGTGTTGGTGGTGCATAGTGCAGGTAAGGCTGGTGGAGGCTCCCTGCTGTTTGGGAGCAATGTTACCTGCTTTTTTGCTGCTGCTATTTGTGTCAAGCCCCTATTTAAACACTGGTTTTCAGCAGCAAAAAAGGTGACATCTCCCCCACAGCAACTGTTGTTCTGCCCTTCCCCTGCTGAAACCAGAGCCACTACATGGAAGATGCCTGGGTGGGGGGACAGTGGGCTAGAAAATAAGGAGCATCCTGAGTTCCATTCTTGTAGCCCCCATCCCCTTAGAAAGCCCCCATGGTTTGTGTCCCACTCATCCAACTATCAATGCTACTGTATTTTCCACAACAGTAGAAGCACCACACTTGGACCTGATCTGGTTTAGGAAGAGAGGTGTTTTTCTCAGCTGAGGTTCACTGAGGCTCCTTAGGCTGACACTTGAGCTGCTATAGGTGTTACATTGTGTCCAGGATGATGTTGAGTTAGGTATGTAGCCAGCTAGCTCTACTTGCATTAATGCAACTCAGCTGAAAAAATACCTACTTCTAAATAGAATAATTATCTTGCAGAGCTTGCAGCCAGGGGCTCTACTGCAAGAAGGGGTGATCTAGGCTCTCATTATGCCCCAGACATCAGGAAATAAAAGTTTCATGCATAATGCAAGCAGAGGTGTTCCCAGAAACCAGCTGATGAGTGTGGCCTCTGAAAAAAGTATCTGAATGAGTACAAAATCCAGTGGGTTTCTTTGTTAGTAAAGATATGCAGCTGAAGAGTTCACTGGGGCAGAGAGGGAGCCTAAGGAGTGGGGAGCCACAGTCACTGATGTAGGTAACTTCTTGGCTCCTTGATAGATCAGTCCCTCCATATCGATGGTAAATCCAGCACATTAATGGCCAGAGCCTATATTTTTCTCTTCTGTTCCTGGAGCTAAGACTGGGGTAAGCAGGTGACAATGAGCTCACTAACTTTATTTTCTGTATTGGTAGCCCTCAGTTCTTAGCTCACTTAGAAGGGTTTGTTTAAACTTACCTGCCTTGTCCTACTTTGATTTGGCAAAATGCAGATTTTCAGCAAACCAGGAGAACCAGATTCCATTCGCTGTGACACCATCCCGGCCTTGAAGCTGAGGGGATGCGAAGAGATAGACATTGTGTTTCCAAACAGCAAAGCCTCTCTACAAAGAAATGGGCCAGGTGAAAAATCACAGCTGGATCTTCGAACAGTGAATCTGCAACTAAGAAAAGGTATAGTTTGCTGTGAAACCCTGGACCTGGTATGTTTACAATTAGAATCCCAGCCTGGGGAAGAAAGTCATGGCAAAATGTGTGAACAAACTGCTTCAGACAAAGAGTTTGCATGGGCAAAAATGCAGTTTGGGAAACCTGACTGCGGTGCAAGAGAGTGTGGTGAGAGCCATGGTTCAAGGGGCAATGGGCAAGGCTGCTGGAAAAGAAGCCAAGTCAGAAATTTGAACAGCAATGCCCACATCAGCAGCTGTCCGCTGGGCAAGGTGTCATAAACCAAGGTGTCATGTGTGCTTCTCAGAAGTTAGTGTGTAGAGGATTGGCTTCTGTGCACAGCCTAGCACATCTATCTAGCCAGCTGTTTCTGCAGAGCAGCCTGGCAAGGAACACGTGCTGCTCTCTAGGCCCCACAGTCTGCTCTCGGTCAGGTTGCAGGGGAGCTTGTGGAGTCTTGAGGGACTTCAGTTCTCTCACACATAACAAATTGGCAAATTAAATTGACTTTCCTGAAGCCAGGAGGTTGCTTATGGGGGTCAGACTAAGCTAACTGACTGGTGGCTGGCGCACCTGAAGAAACCAAGATCTTGGGCAGTTACACTGGACAGTAGGTGCTACTTCAGCTCCAGTGGGAAAGGCCGGTGTTGTGCTGACAAGGGACTTAGATTCAGAACACGCTCTGAGAAGCCAGTGCCGTGCTTCTGGGACCAGCTGCTCTCCTGAAAGGAATGGCCTGAACACCCCTCCTGGAGTCTGCCCATGGCCCTGATGCTCCATGTCAGACTGGTAGCAGTCACACTGCTCATCTCACAGATCCCAAAATAAAGCCTAATTTCTTTATATTCTTTAGGCTCTGGAGCCTATTCCTAGTAGCAGCTTCCTATAGCCCCTCTTTGTACTGGCCCCAGAATCCCACTCCAGGATATATTAACTCAGCTTAATGCTGCAAAGTCCCTTTCCCTAGGACACCTACCTCCTTTCAGTTTCCTTCCACATTCTCTCCCCTACTTCCTGTTCCCTTCCCAGCCATGCCAGAGCCATAAGCAGGTCATGCACTGTATTTACAAGTACTTTGGGGCAGGGAAATGTTCCTGTTACATTTTTGTAGTGCCAAGCCCTCTTATCACTCAGTCAGAAGGGAATGCTAATGAGAGTTAAAATCTGAGAGGCCAAGTGAGACCTGATACAACAGGGAAGGTCCAATTCCATTGAGTCATTCTGTCTCCCCTGGCAGGTCAGCCGGCTGAGTTCAATGTCACGTTCCACCGTGCTGAGGGGTTCCCCATTGACCTGTACTATCTGATGGATCTCTCCTACTCCATGCATGATGACTTGGAGAAAGTGAAGAAGCTGGGAGGGGATCTGCTTGAAGTTCTAAAGACTCTTACCAAAACTGGTCGGATAGGTGAGTATTCCTTTGGTATTTGGTAGTGATCCCTGACCTTACCATTCTTTGTGCTGCATTGAAGAGCCACTAGTTAAAGCCAATACGAGCAACAATGCTGGAAAATGCAGGTTATGGCATGGTCTGCAGAAAGCACGAACAGTCCTCTAGGGCAGGACTGTGTGTACTTGACTGAGGGCAGGGAGACGCATCAGGACTTGGGGCAATGTGGGCCTGGGTTCACATAGATTCACAGAAGTTGAGGGCTGGAAGGGACCTTGTGAGAGCATTGGGCAGGAAAGACTGCTGGGGTTAAATAGCAAGGTGTGCATCTAGTCTGCTTTTGAAGATCTCCAGGGTAGGTGCCTGCACCACCCCTGCTGGGAGTCTATTCCAGAGCCTGGTCACATGTATCTCTCTTCCTAGCCTTGCTCTGCCTTTCAACAGAAAATATTGCTGTCAGGTTAGTTTGCAAGTCCAGAGAAGGCAATGGGTTGCAAATGGGAGAAACATTTCTTTTGAGTATATTTGGTTCAGATGCTTCTGCTGTCTTTAGGAATGATTCTGGTCTCACTGGAGCAGGTAAACTATTCCCTGATCCTCTATGGCTAGGGACACACATTACAAAATCCTAAGCCTGAATTGATTCAATCTTTGCAGGTCAGTCTAACCTGCAAAGCTTGAACTGATTTGGAGGTGGATAGACATACCCTTTTAATTCTAGAAATGCAGGCACATACCTGAAGTGGCTCAGACTAGAAGCTGGGGGGCGCTAGAGCAGCCCTCCCTTCCCTTCCACAGGGCTGAGCTGAGTGGGGCATATTTCCTGCTTTCCCTCCCCCCCCACCCCAGCAGCCCAGCAAAGAATGTTTATCACCCCTAACTCAGTGCTTAGCAACCCATTAAGAAAACAAAGCCTCTCTCCAAGCTCCTCTTAAACAGCTTTTCCAAGGAAGGACATTAAGCTACCTGTTGACTAGCTCCAAAAAGCCTCTCTGCCTTTTTTGTCTCCCACAGCACAGACTGTAGCCAGTATGTGGTCTGTTAGCTAATGCTGAGGTGTCTGCATAAGGCAGAGGGGCAGGGGGGATAATCCCTGCTTTGCAGGGAGAAGCCAGGCAGAGGCTCTGTGCCTGCAAGTCTCTGCCAGAGAAAGCTGCAGCCAGGGAGCAGAGGGGAGAGGCCAGCCCTGCTGTGGAGCAGAGAGCCCTGCCCAGCTCAGACAGCATGCTAGGATCCTGTGGAAGTCTGGTTTATCTTAAACCAGCAAGGGCTGTAGGAGAGACTTTACATAAACTGGTTTGTCCCAAATCAGTCAAGTCTGATAAACCTGGTTGAATGTAGTATGTCAGACTGGTTTCAGCCATTTTCAAGCTGGTTTATGTGCACTGAACATCTGTTCTGTTACATGTTTAAATGAGTTTCTGATCACTTACACTGGTTTATGTATAATATCTGTCCCTAGCCTAAGAATCCATCAGATTTAAGCTTTCATTTAAAACAAGTTGAGATTTCCAGGCCACTTAGATTTGATGGCCGCAAAGAAAACAGTCTGACTGGAAACTGATTGAATTAGTGCGGCGCTGTGGGTGGTTAGCCAGAGTGGATGGCTTTGAAAGAAATTTGGGAACCTCATTCCTCTCTATGGCAGCTAGAGACTTCTACCAGGCAGAGGCAAAAAGAGCCGGTCCATCAGTGGTTGTATGGGAAAAGGTGAGCTGCCAGAAAGAAGCAAACAGGACAAAGGGTCAGTGATGTCTAAGGGAAGAGGAGGAAATGGAAAGCTTCCAAATGAGTAGGAAGATGGCAGTCACAGCCACCATGAGGGAAGGGAAAGGTCAGAGGCAGTAGTCATCTAGGGCCATGAGCAGATTCCCACTCTGATTCTTGGCTCCATGCTGCAGGGCCAGATTCCCATGTGCACTCGAATCCTCAAGCCTCTTTTGGGGGTTATTTCTGTGATGTGTTTTGGTTTTTCATCTTCATGTTGCTTGCTGTGTGCTCCCCAGGTTTTGGCTCCTTTGTGGATAAGACAGTGCTGCCCTTTGTGAACACACACCCAGAGAAGCTGAAGAATCCCTGCCCAAACAAGGACACCCAATGCCAGCCCCCCTTTGCTTTCAAGCATGTCCTTTCCCTCACTGATAATGCAAAAACATTTGAGGACAAGGTTGGCCAACAGTACATCTCTGGGAACCTCGATGCTCCAGAAGGGGGGTTGGATGCCATGATGCAGGTGGCAGTGTGTGGGGTAAGTCTCTTCATAACCAAGATATTTGTAGGTGATAGTTTTCATTGGATCAACTGCATGGTTGAGATAGAGAAGGGGTGGGGGGGGGGAGGCTTAAAACCAGAAAGGAAAGGGAATTTCCTTAGATAGAAGAAACTGTATTAATTCAAGTTTTAAGCAGAATCTCTCAGAAGGGTGTCTGAGCCTTTATAATACACCATAGAAACCTAGCATGTGGTTCCCAATTGCAGTTCAGAAAAGCACTGAAGAGCCACCATGCAATGTGAAATCCCATACAGTACCTCTATTTCCTTTCCTCAGTTTCCCAATGTACATACTGCCTCAAGGCTTAGATGGCTGTTCATCTCCATGTCCACTCTTTTCTGGGGGCACATGCATGTTCTTACTCCTCTTCACTCTTCTCTCCATTAGCTGGCCATGAAACTTTTCCTCTCTGCCCCTATGAGTTCAGCTTTCTGAGATGGCAACTGAAGTGAATTTGTCTCTGTCTCCAGAGGCATAACTGGCCAGAACTGTGCTCTGGACAGGAGCATCAGCTGAAGGTTCACTCCTGGCTGCCAGAGAGGAGAAGGCAACCATTCTTTCCTACAGATATGTGTGTTGAGAAACCATTTAAACACTGATTTAAAAATGGAGGCAACATATTCCCCCTCCCCTTCCCAACTCTGTAGTGCTGAGCCTCTAGTCACTGCTCCTTCACTATGCACTTTCACCATCGCTGTGTCCTCCCTGCTGCTGGAGCTGGAGCTGGAGCTGCTGCAGGGAAGGTGCAGGGTGTGGGGACAGAGGACAGGAGGGTAAGGCATCCCCTAGCTCTGTTCTTCTCCTCTCCCCTCCGCCCCCAAAGGTAGCACCCAAGGTTTGCGTTCCACTCACCCACCCATCAGTACACTACTGTTGGTCTCTCCCTGTCTCTCTTTCAGATAGGTCCATCTCCATGCATGTCCAGCAGGTAGGCATGAGTCTCTTTGGTCTTGAGATGCTGCAAAGTGCAGGACTATGTTTCTGTCTCTGGCAATGCCACACCTATGAATGGGTACCCAGTTTTGTGAACATTTATTTATTCCTACTGCCCTGCACTCTCAGCTGTTTCTAGGGAGTGGGAGCTGCACATGGTAAATTTCTTTCTTTTCTGTTTTCAGAACAAGATCGGATGGCACAACGTAACTCGTTTGCTGGTGTATGCCACAGATGATGGTTTCCATTTTGCTGGAGATGGTAAACTCGCAGCCATTCTGACTCCTAATGATGGCCGTTGCCACTTGGAAGAAAACATGTATAAGAAGAGCAATGAGTTTGTAAGTGTCCTGGGCAGAAGTCAGACTCAGCACTTCCAGGGTGGAAGTATGGGATGTAATGGGATGCACTGCTAGCATTGACAGCAGCATCTCCTTGTGGCCACTCTAAACGCATTCCTTGAACTCTGGTTTATCTCCATGTACCCCACTATCCTTTCCTGCCATGCCTTTGATGTTGTTGTTATACTCTGGGAGGTTGCCTCCAGGCAACCAGAATGTGGCCCTAGGTGCCCTGCTCTGCATTGTTTCTTGGGGCTTTCATCCCTCCAGCCTGTCTCTCAGGGCTCTGACAGTTGGTCTGCCATTCAGTGGTTCTCAGTCAGCCTGCCAATTCAGCAGTAAGTTAGGCCCCTCTGTGGGGCATTTTCGGTGGGCTCTTTTCCTCCCCTTCAGCCACCCCCATGCTGTACAGCCTGAACAGCAAACATAAAGCCAAATGCAAGTGCAATCAAGTGCAGTTGGTGTGCCTTCCTCTAAGCCAGGGCAGGAAAAGTATAGCCCATGGGCCAGATCCGGCCCACCAGGCCATTCTATCCGACCTCCACAAACAATTATTACTGGCCTGCAGCTGCTCCTCTAAAAGCCAGTGGGAGGCAGGCCTTCAGAGGTCACGTGCCATGAGATTGGGTGGGCTCCGTGCTTCCACCTCTGTGGTGCTCCTGGCACGCCAGAGGGGAGCCCCATGTGGATGCATTGAGGACAATGGCGTATGACTGGACAGCAAAACAACAAACCCCACACCCATTTCCCTACAAATCCTATACACACACCCACACTCACCCCCCCAACCACACCCCCTACACACAAGATACAAGAGTAAGACTTTAATTTGAGCAATTATGCAAACACACATAAATCAGGACAAAAATCTTTTAAAAATAAAATTAAAATATATTATAATATATGATTTGTTTCTTTTTCAGTTTCAAGATGGTAAACCCCTCCCTCTCCCCCCCCAAAGGAGTACTTCTGGGAGCAAGGAGTGGGACTTCCAGTGGCAGAAGTCAGGGGTCGGGGCCAAGGGTGGGAATTCTAGTTCCAAGATGATGATCGGGGGCGGGGCACTTGTCACGGGGTGGGCCTACCCTTGTGGGCCTCGACTGTTCATCAGAAATCATTAAATGGCCCTCCAGTTGAAATAATTGCTCACCCCTGCTGGCTTCTCTCATCTTGGCTCTTCTCTCCAATTCCTCACAGTACTTTAGAGAGCTCCCAGCAGTGAGCTCCTTCCTTCAGCTCTGCCCAGGTCAGACTGCCCTCTCTGCCTCGATTGCAGGGCTTATATAATCCACAACCTGCCTCTTCCTGTCTCCCAGAAGCTTGCCTCAAAGGCACAGTCCTCAATTCCTTGCTCTCAGTAACAGGTCAGGGTCCTCTGTTACAAGAGCTGGAACTAAAGGCTGCCTACAGATGTGCTCGCTCACATTCTACTTAGAATGGGTTGGAGCAGACTCGATTCATCAAATCTGCCCCATGTTCTAATTCGAATGCTCCAGCATCACCTCACCATCATATGTATTAAGCCCCACTATGTTTCAGAATAGCCATAAGGGTGCTTTAAATAAACCTCGTTGAATGAGCTTTAGTTAAAGCACCCCCACAGCCATTTTGAAACGCAGAGGAGTGGGAGACGTAATACACATGATAGTGAGCCATTTAAATTAGAGTGGCTGTCCAGGAACCACTACAGTTAAAATACCTCTCCCCCACCCTTCCCCTCCCAAGCAAATGTATAGGCAACCAAAGTTCCCTAGCCACTTCCACTCCAGCAGGTAGCCTTCCCCTCCCATGCCTGGCTAGTCCCACTCCCCTGACCCATCCCAGGCCTGGGGCTGTTCTGTGTGCTGGGATAGTTCTCTTCATTCCACCTGAGCACCAGGGCATTTTCAAGGTGCTGCTCTGACACCTCCAGACTGCATGTGAATGTGAAGTTTGCAATTAAAACCAGTATTTCTGAGCTCATTGCCAGAGGCATTTACTTTATCACAGAGGTTATGATTTCTGGCATAGGTGGGAGCCTTCTGATTGAATGAGTGGAAAGTCTCTGAGAGATTCCTGCTACTAAAACCTTTATTAAGCCATGAGGTCATGAAGCAGTGATTTGGGGGTTAGAACAGGGGTGGGCAAAATGCAGCCCGAGGGGCGGATGCGGCCTGCCAGGCCATTCTATCCAGCCCGCAGGGCCACTAAAACATGTAGAAAATTAATATTTATCTGCCCTGGGCTGCCTGTCATGTGGCCTCTGATGGCTTTCTGAAACTCAGTAAGCGGCCCTCTGCCCAAAATAATTGCCTGCCCCTAGGTTAGAACCTTTTACAAGCTCTGGCTGGCTTTTCCAATAGTGACCATGAAAAAAAAATCCTTTTACAAATTTATTAAGCAAGAAAAGCAAACCAGAGACACTGTAATGCCTAATTTTGAGAGCTGCACCTCTTTCACTCTTTTACAGTTGGGAATATCCCCATGAAGGAAACTTGTTGGTTAAAATCTGGTGCTGGGATCACAAAGAAAAGGAAAAGCTAATCCAGTGCTGCAATTTGTCTCAAGAGTGAAGGTCTTAACTGATCTCACTCCAGCAGAATAGCAGATAAGGCTGGTACCACAAATGGTTCTAGAAAACAGGGATATTTATCTTTCTGCTGGTGAAGATTTGAACATGCAGACTCACTGCTTGCTTTCTTTTCTTCCACAGGACTATCCATCTGTTGGCCAGCTGATCCAAAAGCTTGCTGAAAATAATATTCAACCCATTTTTGCTGTTACTAGCAAAGTGGTTAACATATACAAAGTAAGTAGAACTTGGAATGCATCAGAAATAGTATCCAGGGGCTTAACGCATTCAATTCCAGAGGATGCAAAATGACTGGGAGCCCAAATGTAGTCTTTCAGTATTGATAACTTAAACAGAGTACATGAACACAGGTCAGCATTCATGTTCTCCATAGGTGTGACATAGAGGACACTTCTAACACCTCTGCTTTCCATTGGTAGAAGCTCAGTGACATGATCCCCAAATCTGCAGTGGGGGAGCTGAATGAGGATTCCAGCAATGTCATCCAACTCATCCAGGAAGCCTACAATGTAAGCTGTGTATCAAACTTCACATATATCTTGTATGGAGATTACCTGCTGGTTCACAACATGAACCATATGCGTCCAGTACTTCCTCAGATGGGCGGGATGGAAAAGAAAGAGCAGTTTGCCCATCCAGCATAGTACTACACATATTGGTTATACTTTGTTAGCACAAGTTTGTACCATGCTTTATTTATTTTTAGCTACAGGTATCTGACAGAAGGCTCATAGGCCAATATCTGGCCCATGGAGCCCGTTACTGGATTCTGGGGTGTGGAGCCTTATTGGGGACTTGTTTCAGCAGCAGTGGGATGAATGAGAGCTACATTAATCCTCACAGGTCCCTGAGCTGACACAGCACTGCCACTCACCCTGCCACCAGTGGTAAATCCAGATCTAGTTGCACAGAGCACCATGCTATAGATCTGGCTGATGGTGCCAAACAAGCATGATACCCCAGTTTTAATTCAACAGCTGCTCAGACATGCCTTTGATTTTCTCTGAAAAGTCCGTCATGCATTGTACAGACAAATAGAAATAAATGCATCAATACTAGCTCAGAAGAAATCAGAAGCTATCTTCAACATGTCAAAAACCTGTTGTGAACTTTCAAGATAATAGAAAGTGAGGAGGGTTTCTTCCATCAAATTTCTAGTTAAACTTGAATTTTGTGCAATCTGTGTTTCTGCAGAAAAAGAATCATTACTTGTTGGTTACATATTTTGTAAACAGAAAATCTATGATGCAAAATACCTGTTTTCTCTTATACAGACAGTGCTAGATGAAACCATTAGGTTAAAGACAGGTAAGTGCCAGCCCAGGAACCAAATTCCTCTCCTTGGCATTCTGTTGAACACTTTCATTTAGACTAAAGTTAATTTTTTTCCTGTGGCAGTCCCAGTCATGCGTTGTCACAGAGCAGAGGTGATGGATCTGGGATAGCAAAAAGAGAAATGCTGATTTACTCTCTCCTTCCCCTATCCCAAGAAATAAAGGATTTCTTGTCCCAAATCCTGGCTGCTACCCATTTCTGTGGCATTCACCAGAGAGCAGAGATGTTACCTCCTCATGTTCCTTTTCAATCATATAGTATATGAAGATGATTGCAACCAGTAACCTGCAACTCATAGGAGCTGCGGTGAAGCATGACATGGATGGACTATCCTTGAGGGTCTTTCTGACTGTTCATTTTTGAGGAAGATCTCTGTTTTCTGTGTCTTTTCTCTTCTTGTTTTCTAACAGAGCTTGTCCTCCAAAGTAATCGTGGACCATGGTACTGTTCCAGATAATCTGAAAGTCACATATGATTCCTTCTGCAATAATAAAAAAATATCTGTGGATAAGCCAAGAGGGGAATGTGATAATGTCAAGACCAACGACAAAGTATGAGATCCCTGGCTCAGTTATTTCTGTAATTTTACTTTCTGCAGGAAGTTTAGCAGCAAGATTACCATTTCAAAGTTCAGCCTGAATCTTTGTACAGTCTTCTTAAAGCAGAAGCCCAGTTCACTGCCTCAGAATATTTGCTCAGGGGAAGCTAAATCTGTGAGGACCTATCACAGCTGAGGGTACTTATTGTATTAGTAGTAGGGATTCCCCCCCCCACAGAAACTTTCAAAAAAACCATGTCTCTCAGGAGTGAGTCCAGTGCCAGTCAGGAATTTATCATCCACATACTTTTTTTTTTTTAATGGAAAATGTCATCTCAACAAAACTCACATTTTCACTGAGGAAAATGTTGATTTGGCTGACATATGTGTATATATGAAATGTTTTCTTTCAGGTCAATGGTACCCAACAGGATGTATTTTACTTCTTTTTTATGATGGAACGATATATATCTGAGGAAAATGTTGATTTGGCTGACGTGTGTGCATACATACATACATACACACACACACACACACACATGCATATATATATACATATGTCAGCCAAATCAACATTTTCCTCAGATATATATAATTGTTCCATCACAAAATTGAAGTAAAATACATCCTGTTGGGTACTGTTGACCTGAAAGAAAACATTTCATTTCTGGTCAATGTACCAGCACTTGAGCCAATGCAACACATCATGGAAACTATTGTTTGGGTGCCTCATGTCTCCACTCTCCCCAGTAGACCAGGATCCCCAAGCAGCATATATTTTCCATGACACTACTAGGTATCCCCATTGACCTACTATGGGGACTGCCATGACTGCAGTGCATCATGGGAAATTTAGTCTGAATATTTTGTGAAAAAACTGCAGCTGCTTCAAGATGATGATGTAGTTTTATACCCCAAAACAGAAAGACCAGAATTTCCCATAGGATAAAATTTCCAGTTTTTGACCAGCCTCTCAGATCGAGGCATCCTGAGCCTCTCTCGGTTATTGTGTTCCCCTGTCTTCCTCCTGCTGTTTTAACAGCAGTGTGCAGTTAATACATTTCCTGTCACTTGAAAAAGAGTTTTCAAGGCTGAGACAAATTTAGGTAGAGCGTGGATAGCATATCCCTACTACAGTGCTTTCCTAGAAAATAAATCCCTAACCCAGTCATGTCTCTCCTTCCAGGTTACCTTCCGGGTGAAGGTTACTGCAAAGGATTGCATTAAAGACCAGTCCTTTACCATCCGGCCCCTGGGGTTCACAGACACGCTCACTGTACATTTAACCGGTCAGTGCAACTGCAACTGTGGAGAACAAACCGACTCCAGTGCATGCAATGGGAAGGGCAACATTGTTTGTGGGATCTGCAGGTAAGCAAGCTACTCCAGTGATAGCCTCCCTAGTAACACTGGGATCTTGGGAACCTTGGGGAGTGGACAGCTGCACAAAGACAAGACTGTCCACTTGTTCCTTGTAATACCTGGGGCAGAATTTCAGCCTATGGGAGAGGGTATCCGGAAGGGGTGTGGTACAGACCTTTGTCTTAAGTAATCTAATGCAGCCAGGTTTTGAACTTTTGTCCTAGTTAGTTTCTTTTGTAACGGCTGGTTAATTTTGCAGACGGGGATGCTGTTCAGGAGGCAGAATCACCAGGGCTGAAGCACCTGCTGCTTCTCCAAAGACAACCCATCCCCAGTGCTCAATGATATTAATCTTCATGGAAGCTTTGTCTCCCTAGAGTGACCCTGGGGCTGCACAGACTCAGCTCTCAGTGCCAGTCTCCACTTGTTCATTCTTATAGAGTGTCATGAGAAAGAAGAATCTTCCCACCAGGTTACTGCCACACCACTAGGGCAGGAGCACCATCACCGATACATATCAGCATGTTCCCTCTGCCCCTTCCATTTCGTGTAGCCATTTCCAGACCTCTCTATATGCACAGCAGGCAGTAAGAGTGAGGGCCCATCAACAAACCCTCCTCTCACTCTCACCTGTTTTACACCAGTTGCATTCTGTTAACTTCAGTATATTGGCTCTTGGTTTTCAGTGGTTTAAGGGCAAATAGAATCTGTCTCAGTAAGTCTGTATTAAAGAGAGGTCAATTCAGGCAGTTCTTGAAGGTAGTCATCACTGGATGGCCCCTCCCATGCTGGAAGATGGAGGAAGAGATTCTGGGTTTCCCCAGGAAGCTAGTAGGTCAGATGCTAAGGTGTTTGGAAATCACGGTGTAAGAAATGTAACCAGTTGAGAAGGTGGTCACAGACTCAGAGGAAAACTTGATCAGCCCAGTTGTCAGAATTTCTCTGTTTATTAGCAACCAGGCTCTGCCCCATGTTAGGCTCTCACTGGAGCCCATTCACAGTGACACTTCAGTGAAGTTGCTCTGGATTTATACCAGCTGATCAGAGATCAGACTCCAGCCCCATATATAAGGACCCAATGTTCTTACACAGGTTTTAACAAAGGCAATTACACTCGGGGTGAGATTACACATTAGAGTTAGCAAGCGCTTACTCTAAAGAAAGTTAGTCTGTATTAAGTTTCACTAGTGCTAGTGACCAGTCACATATTCAGGGTTAATACCCACTCTAATGTGCACTGCTCAGACCTGCTGCTAGAAGACTGGTGAGCAGTGGCAGGGGCATGGCTAGGGGCTGAGAGTCTGCTTCTTACTTGCCCTGCTCACCAGCTCTATAGCCACAGAATATGCCAGGGAGGAGGGGCAGAAGCTCCCCCATCCCCATGCTCCTTGAGGACACTGACAGAAGTTAGGGACCTTACCTTGCTCTAACACACTGCACTTTACTTAAAGCGTCATGAGTTAGAACGCCCCCCCCCGACATCCGCCTGTTGGGTGGGAGGAATTGAGCCTGCCTGCACCAGCCCTCCTAGCCAGCAGGCAGGGGCCCTCCAGCAGCTTCTGAGGAGGCTGCTGAACTGCTTCTCTCTCCAGCCCCATCTCCTGCCCCCCCAGCTCAGTGGAGAGGAAGTAAAAGGAGCAGCAGCTACTCCTTTCTAGGCTGCTATACCTGGCCTGAGCTGGGGTGGGAGGGTGGAACAGAGCCCCTCACTTCAAGGCACCTGTCAGCTACCCTGGCTGGGGTACTGGCGAGAGCTCCCTTCCTCCCACCCCCTCCAGTTCAGGCCCGATATAGCAGCACAGCAGCTGCTGTTGCTCCCTTCCCTTCCTCTCTGCTGACAGCCCAGCCGCTGCATGAAAAATTAACCCTTGAGCAAACCCAAGTCCTTAAGATGCTCAAAAGCAGAGAGCACCTTAAAGCAGAGAGCCTAAAACTCAGAACAATTTTTGCAAAGCATTTTGAGTTACACCGTTATACCCCCAACCAAACAGAAGTTCACTGCTGGTTCGGGGTGGGGGGGGCAGGAAGGAATCTAGCTGCAGGCTGGGACCCTTCAGCCAGGTTCCCACAGCAAGAGCCAGGCTCTCTGCCAGTGCTCCCTGTTTTCAGAATGGAAGGTGGGGAAAGGCAGCAGCAGGAACTTTATCTTGGGGCTCCCCAGTTGGTGTTGAATTGTCACCCCCCCCACCTTGGGGGGCTGTTGTATAGCTGCCCCACCCTCTGGGGTGGGGGGAGGGCTGAACAAACCCCCAGACTGAAGTCCCTCTGCTCTCTTTCCCCCCTCCCATTCTAAAAACAGCCATGGGCTGAGAGCTCAGCAGACACAAGTTGCAAAAGTCACTATAGTTTGTAACACCTTTATCTGATGCCTCATGCAATGAGGGGTCAGATAGTCACCCAACTGGACATTTTTAAGCTGATTGCAGCCATGCACTTGTGTTTGGTCACAGCTACAAACTACCTTCTGTGGCAAGAGCATGCAAAAATTGTCACTTCTGCTTGCACCCTTGCCTGATTAGATGAGAATTCATTTTTTGCACCATCAGCCATTTTAGAAGCACTCTGCAGTCATGTGCAAGTGTTAGGTCACTGCAGTCAAGTGCCTGCAGGGGCCAGATTGCCCTGAATCACTCCCTCTGCCTCACAAATCACTGTGGCCCCCATCAGCCCCCAAATCTCCGGATTGCCTCCTCTGCACCCCAGTTGGCCGCTCCACCCTCAGATCACTGCTCTATCACTTCAATCGGCTCAAGAGCAGTGGTGGTAGCAGCAGCAGGAGGGGTGGAAACAAAGGCAAAACACAAAGAATGAATATAAAGGAACAGCACAAGCATGTAGGGATAAAATAAGAATGGCTAAGGAACAGAATGAATTACCCCAGGAATAAAAGGAAGGAAGGCAAAAAGAAAAGCAGAGATACTTAACAGGGGAGGAGAGCAAATAACAGATGAGACAGAGAAAGCTACAGCTTGCAACAGATCCTGTGTCCTATGAAGTGAACGGTGTTTTCCCTGGGCCTAATCCTATGTGGTGTGGAATAATGGAAAACTACAAGGGGATGCTGGCCCATCCCACCCCTGAGGAACAGCTCCTTAGCGCCAGCCAGTGATAGTATTGTGATCAATCTGAGAATGCAGTGGCCTGGCTTGAATGTTTTCCTGTCCCTGTTACCTCTTCCTGCTGCTATTGATGCTGATACCTGTACTTCTCTCTGCCCCCACCAGCTGCAGTGAAGGCTATATTGGCAAGAACTGTGAGTGTGAAACAAAAGGCAAAAGCAGCAAGGAGCTAGAAGGCAGCTGCAGGAAGGACAATGCCTCCATCATCTGCTCAGGCCTGGGGGACTGCGTGTGCGGGCAGTGCACCTGCCATGCCAGCGATGTGCCCAACAAGCAGATCTATGGAACCTTCTGTCAATGCGACAACATGAACTGCGAGGTCCACAATGGCCAAGTGTGCGGGGGCAAAGGTGAGTGACATCCGCAAAGTCTGCCTGCCTGTCCCCACTCTGGCCATTGTCAAGGCAGTGGTCCTCCTGGGGGCTCTGCCTGGAAACCTACACATGACACTGAAATATTAGCACCCCTTGCTGAATTTTAGCTGCAGTGTATTAGTCCTGAGTAACTAATCTTGAGTTAAAGCCATGCCTCTGTCATCCAGAAAAAAACATCCATTCAGGTCCATTTCACAGCTAGGTTGTGTAGCCTGTGATGTCCCGTGATGCCATCTAGTGGACAGGTAGCGGTGTGTAGCTGCATTGTAGGCATGGCCAGCTTCCCCTTGGGTTATGAATTACATTTGCATAGAGATCATTATTCAAACACTGATTTCAGGATGCACACAGAGAAGCATGTTCCCTCATTGTCCAAATAGAGTGTGTTTTTTGGAACTCCTGTTGGTAATAAAGCAACCATGTGTAATTAATGTCACAAAGCAATCCTAGACTTGAAGCTATGTCCCACTACAGAGTTCCTAAAACGTGAATTGTCCCAAGTATGAAAAATTGGCTTGGAACCAGTCAACCCCAAGTAGTCCCATGGGGCAGATAGCACTGTGCTGCATCTGCTGGGAGATAGTGTAACCACTGAGGGTAATATAATGTGCTGGCTGAAAATGGAAGTAGTATAAACCACTTCTAGTTCCAAAAGGCTGTATTGGGCATAAGCTCTGTGTCCTGAATTTTGGTCCCCCAGAGTTCATAGATTCATACATTGTAAGGCTGGAAGGGACCTTGAAAGATCACCGGGTCCAGATCCCTGCACCAAGCAGGAAATATAACTGAGGGTTAGGTAACCCCAGCAAGATGACTGTCTAGTCTCTTTTAATTGGTTTCTTCAGCTGGACAGGTAGGCTACCCTGGAGAGTAGCCTTTCCTCAAACACCAGAGAACTGGTGCACTGAGGCAAGGGAAGAGAGAGACCTAGTTTCTAGCTTCTCTTCCTTTTGAACTTCTCAACCTCCCTTGTATACCCAAAGGACTTAGCTGTATTGGAAAGCTTGATTGGAGGAGGAAACTGCCTCCTCTAGAGAATTAATTTATTGCCTTCATCTATCACGTGCTTCTCAGTTCACTGATATGCCCTCGAAACATGCCTGATGCTGTACAGAGGGAAAAGCAGGTGGGTAAAGCTCCTACCTGAAAGTCCCCTTCACTCTTGGAATACTCAGGACTTGTACTTGAAAGACTTTCTTCCTCAGCCACAGGTCAGCTAAACCTAGTTGAGTAAATCAGCCCTTGTGGATTAAGCCATAATGGTTTTGAGGAAGGAAATTCCCCTTGTGAAAGGGACGGATGTGGTCTGAACCCATCTGTGCTGAGACTAGTGCAGACAAAAATCCAAGCTGGTGTAGCAAACCATAAATATGTCAGGATTGATGATCCATACAATGGTGAGATATAGTGAAGGGTTTGTAGGTTTGCTGTAACAGGTTTGCACTCACAGATAAGTACACACAGGATTTGTCGAAGAGCAAGGACCTCAGCTCTAAATCACTCTGCTTTCTTCCCAGAACGAGGGCTGTGCGACTGTGGTGTATGCAAATGCCAAGATGGCTATGAAGGCAGTGCCTGTCAGTGCCAGAAAACAACAGATGGCTGCATGAATGCCCGGGGAAAGGAATGCAGTAACCGGGGAAAGTGCAAGTGCAACAGATGCCAGTGTAATTTAGGCTACCAACCTCCCTTTTGTGAAGTGTGCCCTGGCTGCCCGTCTCCATGTGCCAAATATGTGTAAGTGACGTGTGGGTGCATTGGGAGGAAGGGTATTTTGCAAAGCCCTGCCAGCTTCCTGTGTGCTAGTCTCACTCAGTGGGAAGCAAAAGAGCCAGCATGGGGATGATCAGCTCCTGTCTCACAGAAGATTGCCCTTGTGCTGACAGGGGAAGGCTAACAGTGACTGTGGCCCCAGAGTTCTGAGTATAGAGGAGAAGAAGCTGGTTCAATGTTTCCCTGATGCTGCAGTAGCTGTGCTCCTGAGGTTGATGGGTCCCCAGTTCCAGACAGTTTTTTCTACTCCTTACCAACAGTCCACCTCCCTGCTGCCTCTATTCCCATGTGGTTTGTATAACAAGTACCACAGCACTAGGCCTGGTTACTTGGTATGTCACCAAACACTGCCAGTGTTGGTCCTTATGCTCCTGAAGTTAAGATCACATCATTATCTCAAGCTTCTTTTATACAGTATTTTCTCAAGTAACACCTGCCCCAAAAAGACATGCACTTTGTTTTTGGAAGACAGCGTTATGGCTGAGAGCTGACTGCATGTGGCAGCTCACTCGCTCTTAGCCTGTTCACTGGCTGCTTTGGGCAAAAGCCACAGTGTTAACCTGTTTACAGCTGCCGCCAAGTTGGTAGCGGCTTTGGTGGCTCAGCCAAAAATTGCTGCCAATTCAGCAGCAGCTGTGGGAGGATTACAACTGAACCGTGCCCCTGCTGCTTGCTGGTGCAGAGAGAAGTGGCAGCCATTATAGCACAGCATCTCAGTGCTACTATTCCAGCCAAGAAAATCAGTGTCACTGCTTAAGACATGTCCTTCCAGTTTTGGAGGGCTGATTTTTGGGAAAAAGGTGCTAGCAGTATGTGAGTTAATATAGTATTTGTTTTCTAGCTCCTGTGTGGAATGCCAGGCATTTGAGAGTGGTCCATATCAGAAGAACTGCACTGAAACTTGCCCCAACATCAAGGTTCGTGAAGAACTGAAAGGAATTATCAAGTCCTGCAGAGAGAAGGACTCTGAGAATTGCTGGATTTCCTACCAGATGGTGCAGGATGATGGAGAGGAACAGTACTTAGTCAAAGTGAAAAAAGAAAAAGGTACCCAGGTCTTGTTCTATATCCCACTGTGAACTAGATAAGGAGTTTTATCCTCCCCACCAAAGCCTGCCTATTGGTGCAAAAACCACACGTGAGAAGTTTCAGGGCCTTTTACAGGCACAGAAAGAAGTCAGCTTTTAAGTGGAATAAGTGTACTTGGAATTTTGTTTCTAGAGTATGATAGAGGTAGAGATGTCAACAGATGCACGTCTCTTCCTTAGTAGTAGAGAATCCCCTGCAGCCATTTAGAGCAACTCCCCCACGGGTGAAGAGGAAACATGCTGGAGATGAACATGTCTAATATGTGGAAAGGACCTCATGGCCCAGAGCCAAGGGCAGCACTGGATACAGCTCTGAGTGCAGACAGGTCTCCGTGGGTCTGGTCCTTCCTTCTCTTCTATTAGGTGCAGAAACCTCCCTCATCCCACTACCCTGGCCATTACTTCCTCAGGTTCTGGTCCTCTCCTGATTCAAAACTCAATGCCTTCCCCCACCTCAGACAGCTCTTGTCAGGAGAGGATTGCTGGGCCAGTCTGTGGGTTGGATCAGGACCAACCCCTCTGTGCTATGTGCCGGTCTTGCAGCGCCACATGCAGCAGCCCTGTTCTGGGGCTCACTTTGTACATAGTACATCATCTAGACCCAGTGTCACATGAAGCACAGGAGGGTCCAGGGGGTGACCTCCATACAGCACCACAGTGGACCAGTCCTGTGCATTGGATCCAGGGCTGGGGCACATGAGGCTCCAGACCACCTGTGTGTGCTGAGATCAGTCTGGTAGGGCACCACATGCAGACAATACCACAGACCCTATGCTGTGATCAATGCTGGGTCCACCCCATGCACTGCATGAGCCCTAAGGATGGCACATGCTACACGCAGCATGTAGACTGGACTGGCTGTGCACACTGCATGCAGCACGGGCCAGCATGAGGCATGTACTTTGTGCAGCATGCCACCAGAATGGCCCTGTGCCCTGGCTGCAGTACAGCATGGACTCAGGCCAGAGACCCATGGACCAGATCATAAGGCTCCACAGGGCACCCCTGCTATAAACCAAAGCCTTTTCCCTCAATTGTAACAAACTAATGTTTAGTGCCTGAACTAAACTGTCTTCTGGTATGGTTGAACTAAACCTAACAGCTGTAAAAGTCCTGCCAGTTCCTGAGAGCCTGGCATTCTCTCTCCTGTTGCTTTTTGGTGTTTCATGTTCCCAGACAATGTGTCCAGACCTGTACAAGTGCTGCTGGATGGAGCAGACACAAAAGTACTCCATACAGCTTATTGTCAGTTGAGCTGTCCAGTAAAACCGGGCTGCTGAGAACCAGGTGAAGTGACTCCTGTGTCTGTCCTTCTTAGAGTGTCCACAGCCTCCTAGCATTGCGGCGATTGTGGGTGGTACTATTGCAGGAGTGGCCCTCATTGGGCTGGTGCTGTTGGTGATCTGGCGGCTGGTGGCGGAGCTGGTTGACCGCAGGGAGTACCTCCGATTTGAGAAGGAGAAGTCGAAGGCCAAGTGGAATGATGTAAGATGGCTCTGCTCCATAAAGGGAGGGCGATGGGAGGAGGGAGGGCCTGGTCCTTCTTCTGCCTTGCCTACAACATACAGCAGAGTCATTAACCCAGTTCTTGGAGTTGATCTGCTCCATTTGCCTTGACTGCCACAGAGACCGCACTGAATTGGGTATGACAAAGTGACTCCAAGGCCTGGCAACCCAGCTTTCTGCTGGCACAAGCTTTCTTCATTGGAAGGGTTGGGAGGTAGGTGGCTGATCCATTTTGTCACAATGAGCTTGTGGTATCTGGTGACAAGGTCTCAGTGCCCTCTTGTAGAAGCACAGCTGGAGGTAACAACTAGGCACCAAGCTCAACTGAATGGTACCCAGATCAAGTCCTGCTGGTCCCCTTTTCTGTGGTCACTTTAATGTTTCTTTAGCCAGCAATATGAACCGAAGCTTCATAGACAGGACTAAGAAGGTAACATGTCTGATATGTCTTCCCAGGCTGACAATCCTCTGTTCAAGAGTGCTACTACCACTGTTGTCAACCCCAGGTTCAATGGAGAATGAGGCAGAGCAACTGTGAACAGCACTGGGAAGGAACAACTGATAGACAAGGAAATCCCAGCCTCAGGGCTCTCCTGTTTTATTCTCTCCCAAAAGGCTTCTTGGGACTTGTGCTTCTTCCAATAAGCCACAGGGACAGGTCAGGCTTCACCCAACATTCAGTGTCATGAATTTCCCTTTTCACAGCTCTTACAAGCTTTGTTGATAGAGATGTGAGAATGAAGCAGCATAAGCAGTGATGGAGCATTATTGTCGGCATGTGTTAGGATCACAGTCCCACCAGTTCTCAATGCTCATATTTGCCATGTGATGGGAGCTTCTACCACTGGAACATGAAAAGATCTTGACCTTCCACAACACAACAGAGAAGATGTAGTCTCCACATTGCTCCCAAGATGGATCTTGAGTTAAGCTTTTACTAAATGTCATCACCTTTCTATTTTAATGCTCCCTGCTCAAAAAGGCGTTGGTCACTTTAATACCTTTCTCTGTTGTATCTTGCTTTCTCAGTAACAGCTCAGCTCTAAGCCACTCGGTGCTAAATTTAATCTAGTCTAAACCCACAGGCTAAGGTACTCAGGCTAAAGGACCTCTCAGGGCAGGATACTGAAGGTTGCAGTGAACTATGGGGCCATGCTTGCCCATGCCTCTGGCTAGAAACAGGGAGCAGTCCTGGAATGTGCAGTGAACTGTTTTCCTGCCAAATCATCAGCCCCTCCCCAGCGACTAACTCTTTTTCAAGCCTACATCAGGGCTCTTAACTGTTTATTTTTTGTTTGTGTCTGGAGCACCACACAACACAGCCTGCTGTATGCCTTGAACACACATAAAGGTTGTAAACTCCAGCTATTCTGAATGTGGGGTTAGTGGTAAGGGAGATGTTATTGAAAATGGTAAACACAGCAGGAAGCAGTGCAACAAAGAGCTCTGACTATAACCCCACAGCATAGATTTCTGTCCTACTTGTTCCCCCCTCAAATGACCTCCCTGTCCTATATGATGAATCCATCACATACTCATGGAAGAAGGAGGCTGGTAAAGCAGGACAGCAGTTCTTAAGGAGTTTCTCTACACACAGCGCTATTGAGAAGAAGTTTGTTCCAGTGGTTCATTCTTATTTTGTTGGCCCCTGTAAAATGTCTGCATGACCCTTGTACATGTTTTCTATACAGGATTAATTGGTCTGTACCTGTTATCATGTCACATCTCTATCCTTCTCTGTTTAAAACTAATAAAAAGTAATATAAAGAAAACCACAACCATCTGATCTGCAGTCAATGTAAGGGCAGTAGCAGAAATCTGTATCACGTGATAGTTTTCAGTTATTGTTATCAGTTTGTCCAGCAGCTGACACCTTTAGCGATAAACTGAAGCTTTCAACCAAGTTCATTTCACACAGATCTTTAGAACAGGACCTAATATCCATTCCCATGAATACAAGACCATTTTCATAAATGACTCACAAGATGGTGCAAGCCAGGCCCCATGTCCTACCCCACCCCCCATACACTGGTCGAAACTTACTTAGAACTACTTACAGTCAATATATTTATATGTGCCATGTGGGGCTAGGCAAATCGGTTTGGTTTATTCTAACTTCCCCTTTTCAGCACATACATTGCTTCACATTAAATTCCTTCAGCAGTGCAGGTCAACAAGGGCCTAAGTTAGTTACACCACTTTGACATACCATCCCTGAATTTGATTGTAGAGTCATAAGCGTAATTAAGTTATTCAAAAAGTGCATCCTGGAGAGAATACACCCTGGAAGCTAAAATGATCCAGGGTCTCCTCACAGTAATGCCCCTGCCCTGGATAATAGCCATATTTATAAAGTTGATATTGACTGCTGACAATGGGCAACAGTGGTATAGCGGAAAGGCTCATGCTATAAAGGTCTGTTTTAGGATCCAGGCTCAAAATTTGAGCCTTTTCAGGATTTAAATCTGCAGTGTTGCCCTCAAATTCAGAGGGAGGTTACAGACAGCAAAGTAGAGCACTGTCTAATAAAAACCTCTGCTGGAGTATAAAGCAGAGATTTAAAGGGTGGAGAGAGGGAGAAAGAAGGAACCTTATCAGTTGGGCAGACAAAGACAGGCAGAGTTTTGAGACTGTTTTGGAGAAAAATCAAAAAAAAGTATTGGCAAAATATTAAACATTTAGCATTTTTAATCTCAAAGACTGGGGGCAAAAATGACTGAATCCTGGGGGCTATTGTCATTTTTATGGGGAAAAAGATCCACAGTTGGGGCCCTGGCCAGTGGAATAGAGGGCAAGGCAGCCAAGAATTACTGCACCTAGCAGGTATCAGCTTGTTAAGAAAGGGGAATACCTGTGGCCAGTTTAGGGACCACTGCACAGAACAGGCTGGCTGTAGCAGACTTGACAGCCAGGAGACCAGTTAGCTATTGATGAGCTGGCTGCCAGCAAGTGGACAGAAGGCCAGCTGCAGCCAAGGACTAATACTGGGAGGCTGACTCACCCAAGGAGTGGAAGCAGAGCAGCAAACCGGTACACCAGGCAGACAGGTAAGCAGCCCAGAAACAAGGGGCTGCAGACTGCTGAGCTAATCCCTATCTGAGAAAGCAGGCAAGTCATCAGCCACAGGGAAGGAACAGCTGCAGGGAGCTGCAGGGCCATATGACTGTATGGGGCAGGGCTTAGGAGGTGCATAAAGCTAGGGCATGAGAGCAGGTAAACCAGTATGGTTCTGCTGGCTGAAAGGGAAGGAGCTCTTGAGCAGGGAATCTAAAGGGGACTGTCTGACTGATGCAAAAGACCCTGAGATCTGCAAGCAAGATGCTTACCGCTTGCAGGAAAGTAGGAACCAGTATTGGAGGAGGTCGGGGTTCAGCCAGGGAGCTGATGATATAACCCAGAGAGGAGAAGCTTTGTTACATACAGCCAGGGAGCTGGAGTCTATGCTAGGTCCTAATGTGGGGATAGTTTCCTGTTATAGCCAGGAGGCTTTCTTATTGTGTTGTAGCTTATACCAGTGCCTTAGATTTGGGACTACTGGGGAAGCAGAGGTCCCAGCCATGCCTGTAAGGCATGTGACTGCTTGCCTCAAGCTCAGCCAGGGGTTTAATAAACAGCAAAAATAATGAAGAAAGGGCCAGAGGCCCAATGCCCAAGCAGGGTACAAACCAGAGTCAAGGACCTACAGCCCATGAAAAACAAAATAAGTGCCTGAGAGGCAAGGACCAGGGTCAGGGACATATAGCCCAAAATCCAGGCCCTGGCTCCAGATTTGCCTACCCACTCTACTTCCAGATGCAGTTCCCTGCCTGCCCATGGCCCCATCCCATCTGCTCAGCTGAGTGTGCCCTATCTGCCTACCCATTCTCCGGTGCCCCTGGTGGTGGGTGCAGGGTAGCTGGGTCAGCATGCCTGGGCAGCAGGGCTGGGTCCAGAGCTGGCACTGCCATCACCTTGCCATGCGCCTGAGCACAGCAGAACTGAGCCAGGTGGGGCTGAGGGACCCCTTCCATGCTGGATGGAATCCCTTGGCAGGCAGATCTGGCCTGCAGGCTCCATTTTGCCCACCTTAGTCTAGACTGTCTCGCCCAAAAGTGACTCCCTAAGAATCTATGTATTTGTTCAGCACTGTAAGCACAGGTGCATAGGAAGGACTTGCCTTCAGGAACCAACGTGTTCCATTTCAAAGTAGTAAGTCTAAGTCATACCTCACAGATACAAATGTAATCAACCTGCTACGTGTTAAGAAATTATGAAGCTGGTGGAGATGAGCAACTCCCAAAGGTGTATTTGGAGGATAATAAGGGAAGACTGTGGTTACATCCTGGACTATGGGGGGTGGGGGAGGAGGGAGAAGACTTAATAACGACTGTGACCCCTTGACTTGTTTGAATAATATGTGCAGTGTAACATCATGTCAGAAATAAGGCCATTCTTATTAAACAATGAACGATGCTTAGTTCCTGGAGAGAACCTCAAAGCAGCCTGATGAACTGCACACCTCCTCACAGCTGCAAGGGCAGGGTAGGGTTCCCACTTCACAGGCATGTTTCTGGTGAGATGTTTCCAATTTTCTTGAGCTAAATTGTCCAGCTCCACAGTGCTGGTGAAGTGAAGTCAGTTTTGTGTGTTATCCATTTTATAAGTAGGTAGGTGCTACTCAATGCAGCTGCTGCCCCAGTGATGAAGAGCCCTTGATTAATCACCTACAAGGATAAGGAGAAATTCAGTTTGTGACGCAGAAGTTTTGCTAAACCACAAAGGAAAAATCTCAGTTTTATTAATACTCTGTCCTCCTCCTGATTATTTTTTTTCCCTGAGGAATTAAAGCTCCTCAGCAACAAAGTTTCAGGAGTCAGGGCAGCAGGCAAGCCAAATAGCTCCCAGCTGGCCTTGGTTACCAAAGTGAACTTGGTTACCAGTGGTCCAACTACATCAAGCCGGCTCTAGGTACCCTCATGGGTCTGGGTACCTACTTATAAAAAGGAGCTCTTTCAGTACCTCACAGGCCACTAAATAGGACAAATGACTCTTTAGTCCTGGCCTGCTTTGTTATAAGTGACAGGCTGGTCCTGAAGCTGACTGGATATCAGGCTCCAGAGAAGCCAACTGGGACATAGCCTCACCTTATTCTGCCATTTCCAATGCTGCAGTGCTTTGTGGTAGCGTATTCTTGTGAATGTGACCTGAAGATTACAAAAGTAGGTCATTTCTTCAGGAGTGAACACAGCAACCAATAGGAGAGGAAGGATCTGGCAGTCAGGGAAGGAACAGAGGGTCTTACCATTGTGTACAACGGGATAATGGTGGAAGGCATAAGCATGTGAAGGAAGTTGTCCACATACTTTCGAAATATAAACCATTTTGAATTAACGTGTGCTCGCATCTGTAACGAACCAACATGCATGCAAAAGACAGCTGTTACAGGTACATGCTCCCTTACTGCGGCTACTTGTTCTGAGATGGCTCTCCTCAGCCTCTCTGGCTAGGGGCAGACATTACACACAAACCAGCTTGAGTGATCAGAAACTGGTTTAAACCTGTAACAGAACAGATGTCCAGTGCACATAAACCAGTTTGAAGATTGCTGAAACTGGGTTGAAGTAAAACCTGGCTGAATGTAGTATCAGACTTAACTGATTTGGCTCAAACCAGTTTATGCAATGTCTGTCCCAGACCCCTTGCTGGTTTAAGATAAACCAGACTCCCCCAGCATCCCAGCATGCTCTCTGGGCTGGGTAGAGCTCTGCTCCCTGGCCAGAGCTCTGGCACAGACTTGCAGGCACAGAGCATCTGTCTGGCTTCTCCCTGCTAAGCAGGGATTATTTCCCCTGCCCCTCTGCCTTACACAGACACCTCTGCATTAGCTAGCAGACCACATGCTGGCTATGGTCCGTGCTGTGTGAGACAACAGACAGATGGGCTTTTTGGAGCTAATCAACAGGTAACTTAATGTCCTTCCTTGGAAGAGCTGTTTAAAAAGAGCTCTATTAGTTAATGGAGAAAGGCTTTGTTTTCTTAATCAGTTGATAAACACTGAGTTAGGAGTGATTAACATTCCTTGTTGGGCTGCTTAGGGGGAGGGGGAATAATCAGAGCATCCTGCTGGGGCCTGGCTATGTCCTCAGCTCAGCCCTGTGGAAGTGAAGGAAGGGCTGCCCTAGCACCCCCCCTGGTTTCTAGCCTGAGCCACTGCAGGCATGTGCCTGGATTTCTTGGACATTGGTCTGGTTACAAAACTGATTTAGCCTAGCCAGGTTAGACTAACCTGCAAAGACTGAATCAATTCAGGCCCAGGCTTTTTGACTGTCTGTCCCTAGCCTTCATGCCCAGAGCTCTTATTTCCTACCTCTGGGAGTCAGTACTTGTGGATGAAAGAGACTTGCTAACCTGCAAGATTGCATGGGAATCTGTTGAAAGCAGCTCTGGGGCAAGTGTCTTTTAGTGCCAGG